CTCATATAAAGCGGCTGCTGGGAGCGGAAGTGCCGCAGCCCCGTCCCTGAGCAGTTGCGCTTCTCGCAGTGGGTCAAGCAGTCTCGGTAAACGGGCTCCCGGTCCCCCCGCGAGCCATACGCAGGGCTCGGACCGACTCCTGCCGCCCCCAGAAGCAGCAGCAGCAGCGCGGCTGAAGCCGCCATCCCGCCTCCCGGGAGGCTTAAGAAGGTCCGCTGCTGGTTTGCATCGGAAATGGTCCTTTACTGTAGCAGTAAGGGAAACAAGGGCTGTCGGCTCTAAGGTTCCGCCCTGTTTGCTCTCGCAAGGGACCGTGGGAAATGTAGTTTTATCACCCTCAGTTTATTTCTTGGAGCTGTGCTCGTGACAAACCCACAAAGCAGGGAGAACAAGGGAGAGGCAAGCCAATATTACTTGGCGAGAGCTTCCTGGTTCAGGGGGAATTTGGACTCCCAGCTGAAGTGCAACAAATAGCTTCCCATCACCCTTGATCCATTTGCCTGGGATAAGTTATTTGATGGTTGTGGGTTTTTCGGGCTCTTTGGCCATGTTCTGAAGGTTGTTCTTCCTGACGTTTTGCCAGTCTCTGTGGCTTCAGAGGACTGGAATAGGAACTCTGTCCATGCTCTGTTACTGTTTGTTGGATAGTGGATTTGTTTGAAATGGTGGTGTTGGAGGAGAGCTTTATGAACACCATACACTGTCATGAAGACAGATAAGTGGCTTCTACACTATATGCTTCAACTATCACTTGAAGTAAAAATAACTCAGTTGAGACTGTTTTACTTTAGTCACCCTATGAGAAAACTTCTTGAGGGAAAAAAAACCCAATAATGGTTGGAAAAGTCGGATGTGACCCCAAAAAGATGGGAAATGCGCTCTGTATGTGTTCAAGCATACTCATCTTCAATGTTACTACCTCTTACCACAGCGTTCCATGAAAGAGGCAAAAAGAAGCCATCAGAAACAGTTCCACCACACTACTTCCTACCCTTGGAGTTTCCTCACCTCTTTGCTGTCACTCCAGTTCATTTGTCCTTTCTGAGTAAGATACAACAAAAATACTTTTGTGACAAGTTCATTCACTACAGTTCAGTTTTCTATCTGATTGGCTGTAGGATTGGGGTCTATGGAGAGAGAGTAAATGAATGGGCAGTGGAGAGGAGAGTAAAGAGGAAAAGGTGAATTTCCTAAAAGAGGGCCAGCCCCCAAAGCATTTTGTAATATCAGTATTTGCAGCTGGTTTTCCAAGGGAAGTTTTTTTTTCATGAATCAACCTATGATACTGTTGACCAAATATAACTGCAACTTTAAAACAAAAATTAAACCAAAAATATTTGAAAAAAATCTGGATACTATTGTTATGACTTGCTGGCAAGATAACACAGTGTTTTAGGTATCTGGCTGTGGAGTCAGAGGTTGGGAGTTCAATTCTCCACTGTGCTTCTATTTATAAGAGCCAACCTGTGCCACCTTGTGCAAGCTGCACAGTTCCATGGGACCCCCAAACAAAGAAAAGCCACTTCTGAGTACTCTTCACCTAGAAAACCCTGGAAAAGTTTGCCATATGTCTGAATTGACTTGAGAGCACATGATGATGATTGCTATGACTACAATTTCAACACATGAACAGATTTGTACAGAGGAGTTTAGAAATTCTATTTAGTGGGGGGAAATGGATGGGATCCCTGGACCTGGTACTGTTAATGCACATGGACATAAGCAATTGGTGTGTGCACACACGCAAAACACATATGCTTAGGATGTCAGGCAGCATGCCACTTCAGACTCTGAGGAAGTTTATTCTGATAGCAAATTGTAGGCCAGTAATACAGTGTTTTTGATTCTTGTTGTTTCTCCAAGCATATTTTTAATCTAGAGAAATGATAACTTCTTGTGGCACCTTAAGACTAAAAGATCATTCCACTTTGAGGTTTTGTGGGTTAGAGTTCACATTTGTCTGAGGAAGTAAATTATATTCCATGGAAGCTTGTTGTTGTTGTTTAGTCGTTAAGTCGTGTCCAACTCTTTGTGACCCCATGGACCAGAGCATGGCAGGCCCTCCTGTCTTCCACTGCCTCCCAGAGTTTGGTCAAATTCATGTTGGTCGCTTCGATGACACTGTCCATCCATCTCGTCTTCTGTCGTCCCCTTCTCCTCTTGCTTTCACACTTTCCCAACATCAGGGTCTTTTCCAGGGAGTCTTCTATTCTCGTGAGATGGCCAAAGCAGTGGAGCCTCAGCTTCAGTGAGCACTCAGGGTTGATTTCCTTTAGAATGGATAGGTTTGTTCTCCTTGCAGTCCAGGGAACTCTCAGGAGCCTCCTCCAGCACCACAATTGAAAAGCATCAATTGTTTGGCGGTCAGCCTTCTTTATGGTCCAGCTCTCACTTCCATACATCGCTACTGGAAAAACCATAGCTTTGACTACGGAGACCTTTGTCGGCAAGGTGATGTCTCTGCTTTTTAAGATGCTATCTAGGTTTGTCATTCAACCCTGAGTGCTCACTGGAAGGACAGATCGTGAAGCTGAGGCTCCAGTACTTTGGCCATCTCATGAGAAGAGAAGACTCCTTGGAAAAAACCTTGATGTTAGGAAACCTTGTTGTTGGAAAAGAGTGTTTGTGATGACCAGCTTGTTCTGACAAAACTCTATTAGCCTTTGCCCTGCTTTGTTTTGAACTCCAAGACCAAACTTACCTGTTGTTTCTTTTATATCTTTATTCCTACTTTAGCATTCTAGTCCCCTATGAGAAGAAAGTCTTTCTTTGGTGTCAGTTCTAGAAGGTGTTGTAAATCTTCATAGAATTGGTCAATCCACTGAGAAAACTCTGTGGAAGCTTACAACTAAATAAATCTGTTACTCTTATGGTCTCACAACCTTTGTGCTTGTTTTTTTTATACAGTATATGCTTAAACAGACTAGCATGATTGTGTCTTTGAAAACTAAAAAACAAACACACCTCTGCTTCCAAACTATTGGAGACCCAGCTGCCAAAGTATAAATGAATAGAATCCATTGGAGGGCAGTATGAGAATACAGGTGAATCTACTAAAAAGCATTCTTTGTTTCCATCTGCAATACAATACAGCTCTTTTACTTTAACATTTAACTTGCTCAGCAACAATAAATAAATAAATGAGATTGTTCTCTGCAAAATTCTCATGCATGGGGAATAGTCATTCTTGGTTCTGTTCAGACACAAGTGGCCACGATGGCAGGTTGATTATGGGAGCTATGGTCCAAAAAACTAACTTTACTGAGTTCTGCCAAAAAGAAAGGATTTGCCCCTTGACTATAGGTGTAAATTGAATGGAATAGTATTGCCCAAACTCATGGAACCACACAGATTTTGCAATAAAGGCACTGTGGCAGATTTTTTTTTATATGAATTATAGAGTGGTCGAAATGACTAGATAGGCGGGGTATAAATACAATCAATCAATCAATCAATCAATCAATAATTCTACTACCCTTGTATGGAGAAAGCCATTCAACGTTTCCACCCAATGGCAAATGCCACATGCCATTTTAGAAGGGTGGTTTACACCCAGGTTGGTAAATATTCAGAAGAAGGTTAGGAGAGCATGAGAAGTTACCAAAAATGTTGTATTAAATTATAGTGCTGATTGGAAGAATAACTAGAGCAAACAATACAGTGCTACATACAAGCTACATACATACAGAAATTAAGGAAATACAATATTAAAACACAGCACAATATTGAAATATCTCCTTTTGTGACTTAAAACTAATTACTAAAGACTGCAAGAAGGTGAAGAAATGGAAGCCTACAGTTTGTAAACAGAAGAAGAGCTTCAAAATGTTACTGTTTTGAACTACTGCTAGAACTAATTTAAAAAGAGACCTTGAGTATTTAAAAGATATCTCATTTTCTCACTTTCTTTAGCTTTTCTAAAACATTTGCTCTAAGCCAGGAATTGGAAGCAAAAAGTATGTATATCCATGTTTCTAGTTACATGTTTAGGTTCCATAATTAGCATCTTTGTCAGTTCTGCCATTGTGGCTGCAACCTGCCCACACTCCATCCATTCAGGCAACTGGGGAGGGAAAAAAACACAAGATCATCAGCATTATAATATAGAAATAAATTGGCATGTCCAACTATGTGAGTCAGTGGAAGTAGAGGTGTGACTAACCATATCTCTGGCAATGTTGTTGAGCCCTCAGCACACCCTTCCCAAGAAGTGCAGAATACCATGTTAAGAAGTACACCCATACTCATACGTCATGTTTTATCTTAGTTTTTCTCAAATTTAATGGACCTTTCCATGCTGAGAAATAAAAGGTGGCTATAATAGAGGTCAGAGGTACATCAACTGTTTAATAAATAAATACAAATTTACTGTGTGATCAAATTGACTTTATGGATTTTTATGGGGAGTCCAGATGTCCCCCTCTTCAATTTTCTGCCTTACATTTATTCTCATTGTTTCCTTCATTTTCTTTTTCTTACCAAGAAAACTACCAAATGAGGGGAAGGGTATATATAATAAGTGCTTAATGCTTTTTGAAAGTTCTTCCTCTGTCTGGAAGAGGAGCAAAGCATGACAAAAGTGTGATCTGTGCACAAAATGATATTATTTTCACAGCTCACTCCATGCCTTCTCTGGCAGCACTCTTATGTATGTATTTTTAATTATTTTCTATAAAGCGATGCTCTACAGAGCCAACAAGATTTTATAAATAAATGCTATATGGTAGTTAATGCACACAATGTTTGTCGGTTCTGAACATGCCTAGTCATGGGTTGCACTGATTTATTTTATGTTCTTGTGTCGTAAAAGAAGATAGCCATCATTTTCAGAAATCTCTATTGCAGTTCTGCACCAGTCCCCGGTTGTCATTTTTTTGTGTAAATGAAGAGTCGGACACAACTAAACGACTAAACGACGACAAAATGCTTCTAATTCTTAAATCTTTTTTCCACTCAGCAGAAGGATGTTTCCTTCTTTCACACTGGGTGTTTTCTGGACCATCTGAGGCGCTTATGTTCTCCACTCATTTTACAGACTTACTGTATGCAGAATTTGGCTTGCCTGCCTACACATAATGATGGATTTTAAGCACGTCTGTTTCTGTGTAGGATTTGGCTGCTAGCTGTCCTTTTCTGTACTTCTCACAGTTCAGTTGCTCCTTTCTCTGGGGTGCCCAAAGCAGGTTTCTGTGTGAGTGCAGTATCCATTTATATATGACATTACACTGCTTTATTCACCCCTCTCCCCCCTATCAGTCCCTTTCCTAAAAATTCCTATTTTTCTCTTTCTGCAGAGCTGATGCTGTGTTTCCTGTCTTAATGTTCCTGAACTTCTTACTATTGAGATTACAAAGGTAGATGTCTTGTCCTTTTCAGGTGGAAAATGAGCAATAAACCCAGTCTTTGCAAACAGCTGCAGGGCATGAGAAATATGGCTGAAGAGAAAGAAAAGAATCCGTTAACACCACAAGAGAAACGCCGCCCCCCCCACCAGCCTGCCTGCTCCCCCTTCCTTTGGCTGCCTGTAGGGTTTGAGAAAGCCTTGAAAGAGCTCATTCTCTAGAAATTGCTTCACTGTTCCAAGAATTTCCTCCACAGGATCCAGTCTCTCAAGTCAATGGCCCCCTTCCCCTTAAGCCCTCTCCCACCCCCTGGCCTTTCATATCTAATAGGGAACTACAACAAACCGAGAAAAAAACCTCGATCACAACTGGCAGCAAAGCCTGGATGCCAGAAGTAGCAAGAAAACACAGTGAACTGACAAAGCCTGTGACATATGTGACTCATAAATCAATCAGGCTTTTGCCACAAGCCCAACAGGGATGAAATAGATCATCTTTTAAGGGTCTCCTAGAAAAGAGTTAAGAGGAAAGTGACAGAGGCAACAAGAGAGCCTGAAACAGTGAAGCTTAAACCCTGACATAGTGATGATGAATGTTCCATGAGTGGGAGAGTTCTCTGTAGAATGGCCACTTTGGATTCCTCCTTGTTTAAAAGAGGGATTAGCCAGGAAAAAAAGCATATTTTACAGCTTTTAAGATGTCCACCTCGGGAAAAGATATAACAGGGCCCCAGCAAGAGGTTTCTGTATAATCCACAGCTAAAAGGAGCACACATTCAGTGCTAAAGATTTGTGGAAATCCAGAGGCACTTTCACAATTCAATTTGTCAAGCAGAAAAATTGATTTCTCCTTTGAATCAGTTTAAATTCTAAATAGACAGTTTCTCAACTTGGAAACTTGTGATAAAAACTCCTCTTCGATCACACTGAAAGCAAAGGGGTAATGTTGAAGGAGGTACCCTGTCGGTGTGGCAGACAAGAGTGATGGGCTAGGATTCAAAAGCCCTGAGTTAAAATTCTTGCTCCACCATGGAAACTCACTGGTGGGGTGGAACTGGTTCAATATCTCATGTTCCTTATTTGGGTTACTATAAGTCAGATGTGAGCTGACAGCATATAAATGTTGAAGTTCTCTCTGCTCATTTCAAATAGTAAGCCTCAAAAGGTTTTCTGCACTCCACTCCATACTTTTTCTATATTAGATCTCTTGACTGTTTGGAAAGGGGAATCATTTTGTATATGCTTTGTGCTACTGAGATGCTTATTGGCCAGCATAAAATATTACATTGGACTTGAATACTTTGTTCGAAGCAGGCTTTCTTAATACAGAGACCTCCAGATATTCTGGATTACAATTTCCATAATCCTTGCCCTTTACCCATGGTGTGACGGTGATAGGAATTGTTGTACAAGATATCAAGAGTGCCAGGTTGGTTAAAAACTGTTGTGTAGACTGACATCTCACTGTACAAACAGAATGGCTAGCCTAAAGTTACAGTACTTGCTTATTGTTCTGAGTAGTCAGTATAACGGGAACCAAAGGGTAAAGAGAGTTGAGCTTAAAGCTGAAGCCAGTTTAAAGCAACCTCCTATGTAGTGGATGCAAAACTTTAAAAAAAAAGTGATTGTAAAACATGAAAACAAGAAACATTGACCCACAGAACAGTGAGAGTCAAGAGATGAAAAGCAAGTGTATTGGAGTTCAAAGGCAAGGGTAGGTTATACCTTTATTAGATCACTAAAGAGGGCTACATTTGACTCACCTACTATGTAGACTAAATTTTATTCCAACTTCTCTGATAGGGGGTTTGCCACATTTCTTTGTAACCACCATCCCAAATGAAAAAGGAGCCTTGTGTTTCAAGATAGGGCAATGCAGGAGGTGGGTACTCAGTGACTGGCAGACCTTCGTTGAGAAGTTTGGGAGGGACTATCCCATAAAGGGCCAGTGGGGTGGAATTTTAAAATTATACTCCTGATTTGAATTTGCAGCTCCTATTTCGAAACTCATTTTACAAAGGGACTTCCCATGAATATTTCATGGTGTTTTGCACCATCCAAACCACAATAGTGTCCAGATTGATGAAGACCTGTATGGGTCAAAAGCTAGCTTCTGTTTGTTATTTTTTTAGTGGTCTAATAAAGGTTTCACCTATCTTTGCCTTCAAATTGTGTTAAAGGACTAGACAGCTTTTTTTCCTCTCGGAGTTCAATATGAGTGATGAAACAGTAATACCTTTAGCCTTCCAGATGTTGGATTATAAATCCCTTTAGCCCTAGACAACATAATTAATGGCAAAAATATGCTTGGAAGTGCAGTCCAGAAATATCTGGAGAATCATACATTCCCCAAGCCTGGTTAGATAATCCAGTTCTCCTACTCAATCAACTCATTGCGAAGAGTCCACACTCTCCACCCACCCTAAGGCACACCACTTATGGCCAACAAATTCTATGCAGAATGGGCTGCTTAGGCTTGTAATGGCAGCACAGAAAATAAAATTTCAGGAGTTTTAAAGAACACGTTCAAACAAATGTAGATGCTATTGGACGGAATGAAGGCTGGCCAAGAACAAGTATTTATTACTTTTTCACTGCGTAAGAGCTGGCTGAATAGCTAAGTGGTCTAGGGATCTAACTGTGGAGCCAGAGGTTAGGAGTTTGATTCCCCACTGTGCTTCCTGCAAGAACAGCCAGCCTGTGTGGCCTTGGGCAAGCTGCACAATTCCAGGATGCCCCCAGATGAAGGCATTGATAAATCACTTTCTGAGTACTCTCTATCTAGAAAACCCTGAAAAGAGTCGCCATAACCCAGAATTGACTGGATGGTAGACAATTATTATATTATTGTGTACCCAGATTCCTTTCTACATAAAGCAGCCATACAACACCAGTAATAAAAACACAGCACCAGAGCAACAGAGCATGGACTGAGTTCCTACTCCAGTCCTCTGAAGATGCCGGCTACAGAGACTGGTGAAAGAAGGACAACCTTCAGAACACGGCCAAAGAGCCTGAAAAACCCACAACAACCAATAAAAACACACTTCAGCAGTTATTTTACAATATATAACAGTAAAACAAAAAAGATTGGCTAGGACATCAATCGGTGATAATACACAGTGTAATAATTAAAACAGCTTTTTGTCGTACCCGTTTGAGATATGCCTTATATTTTTTCAGGACTGAGAGGGGGTCTTTCCAGAATATCTCAACACTCAGGCTAAAGGATATGCTGGTCCTTCAAGTTACTTGGTTCCAAGCCATAAGGAATTTTTAGTTCAAAAATTTTTTAATGGTGCCGAGAAATGATCTGGTAGTAGCTAGTGACATTGAATGCTTCTCCCCCTAAGCGGTAGGCACAATTTATTTCATTTCTTTGGGCTTGGCATAGAGCTTTTGTGGGGATTGTATATGCTATTTCCTGCTAATTCTTTTAGATCCACTCTTTCTTCCTCACTTTACCTATTCACTACATCTTTCATCACTGGTTATTCATCAGATAATCATCAGGGACATTCCAGCCCTGTATTGTTGGTTTTCCTTGGGACTGTCTGGCTTTCCCTTCTAGATCTATACATGTCATCCTCATCTTTTTTTTTTAATTGCCAAGAATGTGCACCTAAAGAAAAAAAATTGAAATATGTGTAATTAACTTGGAGAAAGGTGACAACCATGTAACAGTTTCAATGGAAGAGTGACTTGACAGAAGGCAGGATAACATGCATCTTGTACAATGAAGACTGAAATTTAATGTACTTCTCACTGCCCTGTATTGTGCAATGAATCAGTAAATTACGCTGCAGCCCTACATAAATTGGACATGTTGCACTGAAATTAATGGGACTTAAACTCCAAGTAAATGTTTTTAGAATTGATAGGTTGATTGGAAGGATTAAGTTGAATCAATGGAGCTGTTTTGTGTGCTGAGGCTATTCTAGATCTGGTGTGCTGCTGTGGCAGGGAAAGAGAGAAAATATAGGCTTTTACCAGAATTTCCCCCCTATCCTGAAGAGGGCTGATGGGCCTTGTAGCCCACCAACACCTGTCAAGCTTTATTTTCTCACCTCCGTTCTTAAAAGTAGTTGGTTTGCTCACTTATAAAATCTTATCAGTTGTTTCAGTTCCTCAGAACAACATCTGTATGAAAGCTTTTGGCAACACACATGTATTCCATGCAGCTGTATTTATTGAAATAATCGTGATGCGTTACTTATTTCCACGAAAGTTTATATGACAATTCTAGGCCCCTACTCTTCAAACGACTACAGTATTTATTCTCAAGTCATTCAAAATACATATTTGACCACTCCTGCCTCTTTATTCCGTGGCAACCTTACGACGTTTAAATTTGTAAAGAAAGACGTATTTTCCTTCTGCATTCACTGAGAGGTAACGCTCTAAACTGCAAAGTCTCCAAATGGAATGATCCCAAAGGGAAGCTATAAAGTCCGATCGTGAACAATAAGGAGGTAAAGGAAAACTTTTAAAACTTTTTCCTCTCCCGTCGATTTCCCCACGAGGCAGAGAGAGAGAGAGAGAGGCTTCGGAGCGCATCGACCAACAACTTGTCTGCCACTCCCGACGGGGCAGGAATCTTTCTCGGAGGCGCGCTTTGCGCGTTCTGGACGCCTAGCGTCGGTGGAAGGAGAGATGGTGGTGTGTTGTGTGTTTTTTTTCTTCCTCCCTTTACGGAAGTGAAAGAGGTGAAAAAGTTGGGCTGGGAAGAAAAGTGGGAAAGAAGAACTGCGAAAGCAAAGCGAGGAGATTTCTAAAATTGTTGGAAGCGGTGGGGGAAATCCCCGATCTCTCCCTTCCTTCGGAATGAAATTATGATCTGGGATCTGCCATGAAAAAACAATGGGGCCCTTTCTCAGCCCCTCCTGGTTTTGCACGGGGTTCTTCTTGGTTACGATCTGGTCTGGCGTTGCGGGAACCGAAGGTAGGTCTGGCTTCTTCTGTTTCCACTGTGATTATTAAGCTTATTCTCTCGAAAACGATGCGAGACATAAGGGAGAGGACGAGAGATATATAGCGAGGAGGTTCGTGAAGAAACAAATTAAAGAGTGACTCCGAAAGAGGAGCAAAGGTTCACTAGAAAGAGAGAAACTGTGTGTGCAAGTTGCTGGACCTTACGTATACGTGAGTGCATATAATGGAGAATCTGGAATATATAGATTAACTGACTTGAATTAATTTAGTCGCGATCCCCCTGTCAATGCAGGCGAGCCAAGGAGCAGAAAGCGAAGTCATGTTTGATTGTTCCAAACCGCGGGTGTGTGTTTTGTGGGAGGTGGATTTTGGAAAGGGGGATCAGCTCACTTTCCGTTGAAGTTGACCGCTGGGATTCGGGTCGTGGAGATTTCAGGGCACCGGTTCAAGGGAAAAACAAAGCAACCAGGCAAAAATTCTGCCGGCGTGGGTTCGATTGCCCTTGAAGACAACGGGCTCCGCCGCCGCCGCCCGCCAACAACTTTTCAGCCGTTCTCCCAAGTCGAGCTGCTTAAAAAGACAGACTTTCGCAACCCCGCCCTTGCAGGACGTGTTTTTGTGTGGGGCATTAGGCAAAGGTTCAGAACCGTATTAGGGCATGGAGTTGGGTGTTGTAGTTACTCGAAGCTACTTACTCCGGAGTTACGTTATGTATATTCTATCGGGATGCGCACCAGAGGGTTTATTCTGCCTTGTAAGTAGGAGGGGAGAAAACGTGCAGGACTTCATGCTGGGCTCAAGAGTCAGAAATTGGAGAAGTTGCTTTTTTGGGGGACTGTAACTCCCAGAATCCCCCGGCCAGCCAGCTGACTGAGACATTCTGGGAGTGTTAGTCCACTACTAAATTTTCCAGCTGGATAGTGCTGTAGTCTCTCTCTCATGACGTAGCACATCTCCAGCCTTTAATTAATTGATCACATAAATTAAGTTTCCAGGGTAGTAGTGTTAATCTATTTGCAAGCCACCTTAAAAACGTAATACATTTTATATGTCATTAGCTATTATGGACTCCAGCATGTGAGCTTCACTCTATGAAAGCTTGAGTTAAATGAAACTGGTTAGTCTTGGGAGCGCCACAAGGCTTGTATTGTTGTAGTCTGGAAAGGTAACCTTTTTTTCATCTCTGGACAGTCTCAGGTTGGGCTTCACTTTCACATAAAGTAGAACAATTTTTTCTTCATATTTCATAGTTGTATCCAGTAGACTAGCAGTAAATGATAAAATTTCAAAATAAAAGGGCAGGCTTAGGATCGAGTAACTGTGAAGGCAAAACTAATCCACTTCAAGTTATCCTGAATATGTGTTCTTGCAAGCCACCATAAGAAGGGCTTTCCTGGATCAGACCAAAATCTAATCTTGTCTGTCTATATACAGTGGACCCTTGACTTACAGACGGCTTGACTTACAGACTTTTTGAGGTACAGACTTCTCTGGCCGCAAAATTTAGGTTTGACTTGCAGACTGAGATTTGACTTACAGACCAGAAAAAAACCAAAATGGAACAAAAATGGCCTGTTACGGGATTAATCGGTTTTCAATGCACTGTAGGTCAATGGAGACTTGACTTACAGACTTTTTGACTTGAGAACCGCCTTCCAATACGGATTAAGTTCTCAAGTCAAGACCCCACTGTACTCAGAATGAAGCTACATTGAGTTCTTCCATTTCCAGCAGATGTTCAGTGGTGCACTTGGTGTCTGATCATGGACCACAAATTGTACTGGCAGACAACTGTAGTTTCCCCTTTCCCCTGTATGGCTGAACCATTAAATATAGTTTGGACCTTTACAGTTTGGATACTGAAATCTGGCGTTACATTGCCACTATAGTAGGCAAACTCTTTGCACTTTCTGAATAGACTTTCTAAAATGAAGGATTGTCAGACCTCTGAGACCAAGAGGTGGTGATCCATCACCCAGATGGCAATGCTCATGATGCTTTACACAGAGGCAGTATTTTCTGCTTCAGTTTCCCTGGAGTTGAAGTGTGTTGGAGTACAGGATCCACTTAGGTGTGTTGGAATAAAGTTCTTACCATCCCCAGTCTGGCTAGTATATCTGGAGAGTGCCAGGCTGTGGAATAATGGTTTATGCTCACCATCAGTGGCTCTTGAGAGCTTCAGCCTTAACCCTCCAATTTCTTTAAGGAAACTTTCTCTCTGAACTTTGAATCCTTCTCTCAACACCATGAGAAGGAAGTTAAAACCCAACCAAATATCATTCATAGCTTGAGACCCTGGTACAGTGATTTCAACATCTGATCAAAGATACTTTTCATTTGATTAGGGAAGCTTCAGTCTTTTCAGAGCTTCAGGTTTTTCAGAGTAGCAGCTAGATGTTCACATGGGACCTTGTAAATTTAAGGCATCATGTAATGCTCCTTTAAAATGTTTTGCAGGTGATCTGTGGGCTCCTTTCAAGGGGCAGTGTTAAGTGAGTCTAGAATAATGGTGGTGGGGGTTCATTGTTTATCCCACATTTTCTCTGCTGACCTCAAGGCAGCATACATGGCTCATCTCCTCCTTACAACAACTTCCAGAAGAACTACCAGTCTAGAGCACTGGTTCTTAACCTTGGGTTCCTCAGGAGTTTTGGACTGCAATTCCCAGAAGCCTTCACCACCAACTGTACTGGCTGGGGTTTCTGGGAGTTGCAGTTCAAAAATATCCGAGTAACAAAGGTTAAGAACCACTGGTCTAGAGTACCTCTTCTTGTCCCTCTCCTGTGCCTTAAGACTCTCTGTGGAGACCCTCCTGAGAATACCCATGTACTGTATTCTTAAGAGGGTTGAGAGGCCACATGGTGTTGGAGCCTTCTCTGTGGTAGCCCCCTTTCTGTGGGAACAGCTGCCCAAAGAAGACCAACTGGTCAATTCACCCTAATGCTCCTGAAGATCTGTACATTCATTTTATATTTGGAACATTTTCAGCTGCTTGAGTTTGAGCTATCATTAACTTCTTGTTCATTTTGTAAATGGTTTCTTTAGTGGTTTTATGGCTGGCACTTTAATTGTTTGCTTTACAGTAAAATACAACAATTTTCATAAATCTTGTAGCCAGTTGCAAGGATCCCTTGAGCCAGTTGGCAGGATATCAAATGCCATAAATTCAGCAAGAGTTTGAAATGAAAGCATTCATTAAGCTGAAGACACTTTCCCTTACAACTTTCTGTCTGCACACTGCAAAAATATTTTTCCCTGTTACATGCCTATGTCAGGTTAATTCTATATTAATAAATGAAATCTTGCTCATTTACATGTATGCTCCTATTCCACTATTGCTAATTTATTTTAGCAGGGGTGAATTTGGGTTCTTAACTGTCCTCTCTTTACTTCTTTCCATCACTTTTACAGGAGTTTATACTGTTGCTTACCCAGAACAGTGCAAATTGCTGCCTCTGCCTCTGCCCCCCAAACACACATTCCCCTCCTCTCCCTCTCTCCCTCAAAGACTGCCTTTCAAAAGAAGCAAGGGATCCTGTACAACAACTTACAGAGATTAGTACCTGGAGCATTAAGGCTTAACATGCAATGAAATGTGGTTAGATTATTGGTGTAGACACACCTTCAGTTGGGGCTAGCCTGCCCCTTTCATCACTTGAAATCAAAAGACCAAGGGCTGATCTCAGTGTTCGAAACATTCAAGCAGTAATGCTTTGGGTGAAATATATCATTTCAAATGGTGTGCAATGCTGCTGCCTTATGTTAAATAAAACTAGTGCTGCATCTGGTCCATTACTGTTTATGCTGTCAGGAGTTCAGAAACATTAAGAGCTTTAGGGTGCTATAGCTTCAGGACTCCCCATGCAGCCAGGGAGCTATTGAGATTTGTACTCTAGAAATTACTTTCCCAAGCCATCATTCTAGCTGACAGCAGGTCTTCTTGATCTCAGGCAGGGATCTTCTATGTGATGCTTTGAGATGAACTTGTCAGGAATTGAATCTGGGACCTTCTGTAATATGCAAATTGAGTGCTCTGCCATTTGGGATTTGTGGGTCATGTGTTTTAATCCATAAAAACAAAGAACAAAACCAAACCCCATGCCTGTGAAAAGCCAAGAGGTTTCCAGCTTCTCCTTTCAGTTGTTCTTTGGGGTATACACAGATTTTTAAAAGAATAAAACACACAATCCCTCATTTGCTTTCTGATGTCTGCAATGCTAGAATAGCCCAAGACCAGCTTAGATATAACATGTTATGAGCCATCAATGTTACCTGTAATGTATTACTGCAAGAGTAATTAAAACAAAACACAATTCTTTTTGCAAAATAACATAATGACTGGCCATATTATTTCCTTTATGCCATGAGTGATGTTCATGCGTTCCTATCTATTTTTATTTTGGGGATTTAAATGCTCTGAGGAAATTTTCAGGATTTTTTAAAAAAATAACATTTTGGGTTATTTTTTTTACTTTTTGGCTGGATTTGTTCACATTCAAAGGCTGAATGTACTGTAACACGTAACACAAGTGATGAAAACGAGTATGTGTGTTTCCAATGTCACTGGTAAGATGTGGGGAGTTTGCAGTAATTTAAATGACAAATTACTTTTAAAAGTTACTCTTCAATCTCTTCAGGAAACAAATACATTTTATTTTTTTTATAAAACTTAAGATCAGGAAATGGAGTTTGTTTGGTTCATTATCCTGCTTTCAGCAGTCCCAGGCCACATTTTCTGGCAGGGAGAAAGACAAAAGTGCTTCCATGCTGTTGCTCCAATTAATTGGTATTCAAGAGCAGAACTTGGAAAAGTTATATTTTTGGATTATAACCAACCATGCTGGATTGGGAATCCTGGGAGTTGTCCAAAATTATTTTTCCAGTTCTAATAAATCATATTTTGTTCTCCACTTAACAGTTCTATTTAGCAGTCAGATCAGTCCAAGACTCTTGCCCAATAAGATTTTATCTTCTTTTAAAGCCCTATCAGCCAACGGCTATCATCACATC